CTGCTCTGAAGGCTTTACATCTACTCGCCAGTACCCATTTACATAGAGATAGAAATCGGAGTCGGAGTTTGAGAAGTTACTTAAAATATCAGAGAAATGAATCCTGATGAAGTGTCTATAGTTACTTTTGACCTTGAACGACCATGTAACATTCGTCAACATCCCCACCCGCTCATTCGAGCTGCGGTTCATTGCTTTAGCTGTCTTGTAGACGAAAGCAGGAGCAGTGAATTCCGTGGCTGACAGTGACCCTGCTGTATTGTAGTTAGGCGTTTGTGTTGAATTAATGTTCCTCGCAGAATCTTTTCGGTAGAGAAAGTCTTCATCATCAGGCGACCAAGTTCGTCCCAAGGTATCATTATCCGGTGTGATTTTCTCACCTCCTACGTTTAATCTGTAAATCATATGCAGATTCTTGTCGAAATCTGGCTGAATTTCGAGGTCATTAGGAGCAGGGAACACTTCAATGGCGTTGACGAAAGCCAAAGAGGAATGATCCGGCACTAATCGAATTTCGAACTCCAGCGAGTCCATCATCAGGAGAAACTCTTCAACTCTTGGGGTCTCAGTGAAATTCTGAAGCGGGAAACTTTTCAAGTGATGATTAGAACCAGAAATTGCAGAGACAGTGAACCGAGCAGTTAAAAGATCTGCCCGAGAAAACACAACAGAGAAATGGAGACGCACAAAGTGCAGACCAAGAGAATCAAGTTTGAACTCGTAAGAAGAAGGGCGTCTGAATATCCTAACCGTCCGGTAGATTTCAGGCACAACGGACGATTGGTTGTCGATGACTTCAGTTCTATTGGTGAAGGAAACAGAGTTACCACTGAAGTTCTTATCTCCAACGAAGGTCTGACCACCATAAAAGACATTAGAATCCGATCCACAGTTGACGTAAAACTTCTCAGGACGAGTGTACGTCGAAGTAGCAGAAAGAGTGAGACGAGGAAGAAGAACAAGAACCATAATCGATACAAAGAGAGAAACAGAGTTTTGAAAACAGAAATTCTCCATAGCTTTGATGCAGAGAAGGAGAAAGAGGGAAAGTCAAGTATTTGAGGTCAATGGATGAAGAAACATGTGTGGTCGATGTGAAGACTGGATTGAAGAAGAAGATGAGATTAAAAGAGAAATAGAGAATTGAAATTATTGGTGGAACGAAAAGAGAGAAGACTGGAGTTGACTTTTTAAGTCATCGTCTTTTGTCCTGTGAAACAATCATCACTCTCTAATCTCTTTACCTATGGCTCTCCAAAACTGACCTAGTAAACGGTCAGTCTCTATATTTCTCAAAAAAAAAAAAAAATTAATTCGAGTTATTAAAATTTAGAAATTTGTATAAGTTATATGTTTGTCTATTTGATTTTTTGACATGATAATTTTTTTAGTACATATTTTTTTAGTTACACTTCAAGCAAAAGCATTAAGAATCTTATGGACAATGGGACGAGCTTTACACATGGCTAGCAATGGTGTCGCAGGACGCATCATGGCCATAAGTTCTTCTCTCGTGTCAACATATTCTTCTCCAATTCTCTGCCATTCAAAACACTGAACCATCGATCCAAGAGCCAAGCTCAGTAACCGATGAGCTAGGCCAACCCCAGGACAAGCTCTTCGTCCAATCCCAAACGACAACAACTTTTGATTAAGCTTTTGATTTTCGAACCTCTCTGGCTTGAACATTTCGGGGTCTTCCCATACTGACGGGTCTCTATGCATGGCCCATATGTTCACCAATAACATCGAACCACGTGGAACGTCGTATCCTGCCAACATACAATCATCTGACGTCATATGTGGAACATTTGTTGGAGCTGCTGGATGAAGACGTAGGGTCTCCAACACTATCCATTGGAGATAAGGGAGATTTTTAGTATCGGCTTCATCTATTAACCGGTCAAAACCGATTTTGGTATCGATTTCGGTCCTCGCTTTCTCTAGTACTTCTGGATGGTTCAACAAATTCAGCATCGCCCATTCTAAAGTTCCTGCTAATGTTTCAGTCCCGGCAAGTATCATAACCTGTAAAATTAAAATCAATAATCAGCTATCATAAAGTTTGATTAGTGTTGTTACATTTTGTATATGAATTCCTCAAACTTACAATTATGATTCCTTTAAGAGTGACATCTGTATAGTAATCAGGCTGAGTCTCTTGGAGGAAAAGTAAGTGATCCATCATAGTGTTACCCTTTTCTTTATCCACACGTTTCTCATCGACCAGACTCTGCAAAAACTCATCAACTCGACTCGCTAACTCCTTGACCCCTTTCTCAAAATCTGTAATCCAACGCAAAATCGGTAAATAATCGGCTGCATTCCCAGCGCCAGCCCTGTACACAATCTCGTCAATCAACTGGCTCACTCGCCGCGCAACGTCATCTTGCTCTGTTCCCTCTCCATAATATCGTTTCCCGGCTATCATTCGAAGAATGTTGTTGATAGTCAAATCATAAAACAATTGTCTCATCTCCACCTTCGCAAACCCCTGATTTTATAATCACTTAAACAAATAGATTAGTTCTCAAATTTTCATATTTATACTTCCCAATCTTTACTTGGTATAGAATATGTATATACATTTTTTCTCTGAGATTATTAAGATATTTTAGTAGAGTTCCTATGTTATATTTGTTTTGGCGTCTACATCTCTAGCACATGCACATGGCCAAGTTTAAACCTAGATAATAATACAGTGACGTTACTAGCACAAATCGATATAGGTTAACTATGACTTATAAGATTCTCTTGCTATATAAATTTTTTTTTGATATGTAGAAGAAGCTTACATACATGTTGCGAGTTTTTTGATAGGAGCAATAACAAGTGTCGGATCTCATCCTTACGGATAGATAAAAAGCCATTGAGCTTGTGTGAAGAAAATATCTCGAGGGTACCGATACGGCGCAGGTTTCGCCAGTGGTCACCATAAGGCGCACTTGTCATAGTGGTGAAGTTGTACTCAATATGTTTCCCGAGAATGAACTTTGGCCTATTGGCCAAAACAATGTCGTTTTTTGTAAAGCATTCTTCAGCGATGGAGTAGGAGGAGACAACAACCGTGAGACGGTTTCCGAGGCGGATGGAGAAAATCGGGGCGCCACCTAGGGATTGAGAGAAAGAGAGGAATGTACGGTGAAGCGGCTTCTTTAGGAGGTGAAGGTGTCCAATAAATGGAAGTGGCCTAGCTGGACTTGGTGGTAGGTTAAACTTGTTATGCCTTTTACCAAACAAAAGTTTAAGAGAAATGAAAAAGAAGAAGGCGAGAGATAAAATTAGGAAATGAGTTTCCATTAGATCTAAGAACTTGTAAATGTGTTGAATTGAAACATTGGAGTTAAAAGTTATAGCTTAATTTATAACGAAAGTGAGTGCTTTCGTGGAGTATGATGATGAAAAAAAGATGTTCAAATTTTGGTGTTATCATGGGAATAATATCCCACCTGTCAATAAAGATATGTTTCATAACGTCTCATGCAATTAATTATAAATAAACATGTGTAATATATAAATCAACATTGTTAATTACTTTGTTTGTGTTTTACTAGGATTTTAAGGGATTGAAAATTTATGATAATAACTCATATCTAGGTTGGATCTATCTATATAAGAAGATGATAGTAGAACATATTGTTTAATTAGTCAGTGTTTCAAGATCTAGATTTTTGCGGATGTTTCATTTGTAAACTCTTTATACCAAAGAATGAGAAAAACAAAAAATTATATACAAACACAATAAAAATACAAAGCAAATCGAGATTCAACATAGTAAACCTAGTGATATTTTAATAAAATAAAAATAAAAAACTGATTTAAAAAGATACATTTAAAACTTAAATTAGATTTTACTGAAAATGGTAAGAATAGCAATTTAGGTTACACTCCAAAGATTTGAAACCTATACACATGGTTCCATGGCAAAAAAGATAAATAAATGAAAGCATAAAACGGTAATTAAACCAAATTTTTGTTTCATCTACTCAAACAAGCAAAGAAGCCGTGAGAACAAGATGAATCAATGACGTTTATGTTGTCCTTCCCGAAAGAGTTGCAAAAGGAGAAGAACGAATGCAGATTGTAAAACACCTTGTTACAAATTACAACTAGATTTAGAAGCATTTCGCAAGAAGCCCAAAACCGAGCCGTCAACGGTAAAAACTCTTTTTTTTTTTTGGGAAAGCGGTAAAAAATACTTTTGAATACGTACTCATTTCGCTAGTAGTTATAATTGAATGCACTAAACTTGTTTCGTGTTTATGACAACGGTCGAGTATAACTACGATTACAAAAAGAATAAGAGCAAAAGATTAAAAATTGAAAAAAAAAATGAATGTTTGTTGTGAATTCGAGTAAATTTGGATGAATCTAAAGAAAAATGTAACACTCGACTATTTCTATATTATGGAAGACTCCTAGTATTCTAAGAACTTATTTGAGTAAATATTAATTTTATTATAAACATAATGTAAGCATAAATAAGGCTGGTCACTGGTGGATCAATAGGATAAGGCTATTGGATCAACAAGATAAGACCGTTGGACACAGAAGAAAGCGTTACGCGGGAAGCAGCTTCCTCGGATTCTGGATATGGAGAATTCCATTTTATACAAGGCAAGGTCAAGGTATTATCATATCAAAGAAATGAGGATTTGAAGATATCTTGTATTAGGAAGTTAGGTTAACAATATGATGTGTTGCTACCAATATATTGTCGACCTAGATTCTTAGTTTAGGTTGGCCGTCTTTTGTGAAATCACAAGATCTAAGCATAGAAAGTTTTTAGGATTCTTGGTAAGTGAATAAAGACTGATACATAGCTCTTGATAGTGGGATTGAGTAGTTAGGAATTAGTTAGTGACGAGTCTGTAAACTACATATAAATCTGATTAAACAGATCTGCAAGATTGTTTAAGCGATTCTTAATAAAGAAAATAAGTTTTTTTTTTCAATTGTGCATGTGTTCTAGTTGTTAGACATTACCCCTCCTATTCAAGTATTTGACAAAATTCTAATAATTATTTCCATACTTATAATATAGTTCAAAATTATGCATAATATTCAGACCATATTACATCTCTTAGTGACTGTAACTTTAAGCCCATGCTTCATGTGAAGGATAATAGAAGGAACTGGCTCGATCTTGTGTCCATCAACGATCTTTATCTCATAGTTTTGTATAATTTTTACAGCCACTGTCTTCAACTGTGTCATGGCGACTTCTTTCCCCAAACAAGTCCTTGGACCGGCATTGAACGATAAGAACTTAAAAGATGGCATATGAATCAACCTTCCACTCTCTGAAATCCATCTCTCCGGTTTAAATTCCGATGCATCTTCTCCCCAAACCGATTTCATTCTCCCCAATGAGTAAAGACAGAACACAATCTTCGAACTCGCATCGACTCTGTGTCCACTCGGAAGAACGTCAGGTTTTGTAGGAGACTTGTGCTGAAATGGAACCGGTGGATATAGCCTGAGGGCTTCACACAATGCGCCATGTAAATACACCAACTTGTTTAACTCTTGAGAACTGAATGAATCAGAATCAAAATCGTTGGTTCTTGGAGATAGTTTTGTGTTGATTTCTTGACGAATCTTGGTTATGGCTTTTGGGTTCTTGGAGAGAAGCCAAAAGAACCAAGTGAGAGCAGAGCCTGTGGTGTCTCTACCAGCTATCATGAAGCTTAAGATCATGTCTCTAAGGAATTTGTCATCACTTGGATTCAACAACTTGTACTTGGTCGTATCCACACTCATGTAAGACATCAACAAATCTTTAGAAGAAGAGTCGATGTTAATAACCCCATTGGTTATTTCATCTCTCTTAGAAGCTATGCATTTAGAGCAAACTCGGTCGAAAGTCGAGTGAGCTTTTCTCATCTTCATCTCATCTCCAAACCCAATAAATCTTTGCATCTTCCAAACCATCTCCGGCTTGACATGCCTGAAGAAAATTGCTGCCTCTGCTTCGTCTAAAGCTCTAGCAAACTCGATTTGCGGCATTTCGGTCGCAAGACAACCTGGATCAACCCCGGTCGCTAAAATAAACGAAGTGTCGAACGTAAATCTTTGGAACACATCTTGTAAGTCAACGACTAGTTTCTTCTCAGCAACGTAATCAAGAAGTGGGACAAGCCCTTTCTCTAGCTTACTCATGCTTGTTCTTAGTGTAAACCTTTGAAAATCTTGATGAGTCATCATGCTTTGAGCTGATTTCCTCAGATCTTTCCATAACTCAGAATCTGCATTGAAAATGCCATCTCCCAAAACATCGAATATCTTCTTGAACTCGGATCCTTTCGGGTAATTCGCGAAGTTTGAGCTCATGATGTGGTGGATATTAGCCGGATCAACGGTGATCAACATGTCGAGGCCCCCGAAACACGGACCTTTGAAAGGATAAGTTAAGTTTGAGGCCTCGAGAAGCTCGGTTACATAGTCATAAACACGAGGGATCTCCACGAGTAAACCCGGAAGCATACCGAGGAACGGCCAGTTAGTGAGAAACGAACGATGAGGTTTCTTGCTAATCAAGCAATATCCGTAAAGGAAGGAGATAAAAAGTAAAGAAATTGAGACTTCAAGTAAGGTTATTAGAGCCATTAGAGAGAATTGAGAAAGTGTTTCTTCTTCTTTTTTTGTGGAAACATGATTCTTGTTTTTGTTCCTATTACATATGTAAATATATAATATAAGATAATGTATAAATTAATACAAGGGCCTGCGTGCCATTGAAACTGGTGATGTGTCTCTCTCGTGTAGGTAATGAAATTAGATAATATCTTACTTTTTCTGGTTATTATTGATCCATTTGTTTTGTTCCGTATCTAGCTTTGTTGAATCTAATTTGGAAACCAATGCAAAAAAATATAATAATAATAATAATTTGGAAACCAATGCATGTGACAATTGATATTTTCATAGTTATTTGTCCCAATAGATAATACACAAAGGATCTAGCTGGTTTCTGTAACCAAGAACCAACCAAAGAAACAAACAAGAAACTTTTAATTATAACATTTGTCAATCACCGTGCAGTCCGGTCGTCTGGTCAATGAAGGGATCAGAAAAATTTGGCTCCACATACCAACATAATTTGAAGTGTGTGGAAGTCGAAACTAACACAATCGAGATTTGTCTAGGGTTTAAATTTAGGAATATGATATATGTGAATTCTCAAAGAACAACAGAAAACAATTGTAACCAAAGATGGTGTTCTTGATCTTATTGATGAAAAGAGTAGTTTTGATCGTACAAGAGTTTGATCGTAAAAGAAAAAGGTGCTTGTGCTGTGAGAGCTTTTGCGTAGTGTAAAGTCTAGAGCGATATTGCTTGTGCTTTGATTGAGCCTTGAGTCTCTTTATATATAGGTGATAAACCGCCTCTCCAGCGATATTCCCGGAAGATTTCCATTTATCTTGAAGTCGGCTCAGAATATCGCGGATTAGGATAGTTTCCTTATTTTTCGGGGGTTTCCTGATTTGAGTTGACCTTTCGAGATTCTCCCCTATCATTTCCGGGTCTATCGGAAATGATCCTTCGGAAATGATACCTTACTTGGAAATGATACTTTGAAGGTGAATATTTACCAAGTCTTTGCCTCGGGTGATGATGAAGACTTTGCCTCGGAGAACTCGTGCAACCGGCTCGGGTACACAGGAAGGACTGGCTCGGGCACTCTAGAATGGCTTGTTTGAGTACCCCGAGGCGACGGGCACGGGTGCTCCGAGGCGATTGGGCTCGGGCGCCCCGAGGCGGTTGGGCTCGAGTACTTCCGAGGCGACTGGGCTCGGGTACCCCCGAGGCTATTGGGCTCGGGTGCTTGAGACGTCTTGTTCAGGTATCCCCGAGGCGATGGGCTCGGGTGCTTGAGACATCTTGTTCAGGTATCCCCGAGGCGAGGGGCTCGGGTCTACTAAATCGATTAGGTGGATAATCCGAGGTGGCTGATGCGATATCCTGAGGTGATCTCTGTAAAACTCCCGAGGTGTTCAAAGTCTGGCTCGGAGCCAAAGGATGGAATCCGACCCCAACAGTTAGCCCCCCAGCTCGTTAGTTTGGGGACCCAAGCGTGACGAGCTCTATGACAATTAGGCTGAGCCGTTTACTTTGGACAGTTCGGTCCCTTTAAAGTTTTTGGCGATTCGAATTCCTGTCGTTTCATCTTCTCTTGGCGTGTGACGGTTGGGATTCCTTCTCGAGAAGTGGAAAGGTCTTTTCGCTGATTCCCGAGATTCATGCGGATGCGAAGTATCCTACTCAATTCGTGCGTACCCGACGCGCCTTAGACACAGATACGATGTGTTTTATTTGGCTCGTTCGTACCCGACGCGCCCCAAATCTCTATAAATGTTAAGCCTCCGATTTATTTTTTCATTTCGCAATTGCAAAGGAAAATTTTCAAGGTTCGTTCTCTTCTCTCTGATCTTGAGTTCTTGTATTTTCTACTTTTTCCGTTAATACTTCCGTCATAGCGCCACCGTCATTAGATCTAGGTTGATTTCTCCGATCTGTCAAGCTTTGTTCCTCCGATCAACTTCTTCAATCTCCCGAGCCGGAAAATGTCTCTTTCTGATTCCAGTGATTCGCCCCGAGGCGACACTCACCTCCCTGTCTACAAGAGAAAGTTGGTCTGGAGTTCTTCGAGCGACCCCGAGGCGGACCGTCAGATCGAATTGTACCGTGGTAGTGATGCAGAGTCGGCTTCACGGGAAGAAGACCCGAGCCGTTTCATCGCTCGGGAAGATGCGATTGCAGATGTGGCTCGGGATCAGGATTTGCCTGATGATCCCGAGGCGATTTTGAATAGGAGGGGGATACATCCGCCGGTAGTTGGCGAAGCTGGAGTCTCAAGCTGGCAAAGTGCCCCCGAGGCGCCTCTTCTTCCTAGTAAGGCCGAGGAGGTTCATTATGACTCTGATGAGGCGGCCAGGTTGCTTCAAGCTAGAGTTCAAGCAGCCAAGGGTCAACAGAAGAGGAAGCGAGCCAAGAAAGCTAGGAAACCCGATCCCCCGGGTTCCAGCTTATGCACGGAGGACTCCCTTCGGGATCTCAAGGCCCGGTTCGGTTTTAGCGAGGGGATTGAACTAAGACTTCCAACTCCGAATGAGCGAGCAGATGATCCACCCGAGGGGTTTTTTACCCTTTACGAGGGGTTTTTCTACTATTTCTATCTTTGGCTTCTAATCCCGAGGCCGATTTTGGCGTTTCTGTGGTCGTACAAGATTGCTCTATCCCAGATAACGACCCGAGGCCTGCGGCATCTAGTGGGGATTCTAGTCCGAAGTATTGAGACAGTCAATATTGTCGGCCTTAGCCACTTAAGGAATCTCCTGGAGATCCGGCACATACCAGGCCCTGTTGAGAGATTTTATATATCCCCGAGGCCAAATAGGAGGGTTATCGGTGGCTTCCCGAGCAAGGATGAGAAGTACACCGATAACTTCTTCTACGTAGCCTTGAATGAGTATAGTGTCCACGAGGACTACTTAGGGAAAGTTGTTGGAAAGTGGAGACAAATCGGTACTACGCCCGAAGTCGTATTTGCTGTTTTGTTTTGCTTTAACCTTTTTACTGACCGTTTTTCTTGTTCATGCAGATCGGAACCCGTCGTTTCTCGAAGACATTCCCGAAGGTTTTCTAGATCTCCACGACGAACTAATTGCTCGGAAGTGCGATTGGACAAAACACTTCTCCCAGGAAAGAATTGAGAGAGCCTTGCGTTTGCTGCACGGAGCTCCCTGCTAGTCTTCTTCCGAATCGTCCGATCATCACCTAGATTATCTTATCGAGATGCAGGGCGCTGCGCAGTCTCTGAGAGCCAGGAAGGCTGCTGAAAAGAAGGCGGCTAAGGAAAAAGCCGTTTTGGAGGCAAACTTCAGACCTCCTACTCCTCCCGAGGCCAACCCTGAGGTCGTTATTGGTGCCGAGGCAACTGATGAAGCTCGGGATATGGTTTCGATCGTTCCCGAGGTGGCCGGGCACATCTCCCCTACGACCGATGTCCCCGAGGTGGTAGGGGCTCTTGTCGTTGCTGCTCCAGCCGCCGAGGCAAAATCCAAAACTAGGGGAAAAGGACCCCGAGGTGATGGCTCCAGTGTACAAGGACAAGATCGCTTCGGCGAATTTTGTCGCTTCTTGCTCGGGTCCGCCACTGTCTGCTCCCGACGCCTTGTTGGAGGCTCAAAACTACCGTGAAACCGCTGCTGGATTCCTAAAGGTATCATCGATCTGTTCTCGACCTATTGTACTATCTTTTCCATATTTGCTTGCTAATGATTCTTGTTCTATTTCAGGCCTTCCATTCGATGAATTCCATGGTTCGGGCCTATGATTCTGGAGCTCGGAAGTCCGAGCTGGCCCGTGAGAGATCGGAGACGTCCCGAGCTAAGGTCGAAGCTAGGTTGTCCGAGGCGATCGCGGCTAAACAAGCAGCTGAGGCGTTGGCCAAGGCCGAGAAGGTGGAGCGATTGAAAGCTTCTGAGGATAGCCTGCGGACTCAGAGAAAGCTTGAGGCCGAGGTCGAACGACTCCATCGGTTATTTAACGAAGAGAAGGCTCTCCGGGAGAAGGAGATTGTCAGAGAAAGGAGGGCAGCCAAAAGGGAGTTTGCCGAGAAGGTCAGGGCTATCGAGGCGAAGATGGACCAGTTCGGGGAGGTATCCACGCGCTACATGTACTTGGTGCAAGCGCGGGCCAATGCCGAGCTGATAGCCGAGCTGGAGGATGGGAAAAAGGTAGAAGATGAGAAGGCCGAGGTCCTTCAATGGACGGCTGAGTATGGGGACGCCGAGGATGAGTACGTCCGTCTAGGGACCGAGCTGCGAGAGGACTTGAAGCTTCCTCCGGTTTCCCCGGACTCTGTCGACGATAGCTTCGGGAACCGTTTGATAGAAGGCGCCGCGGCTGCGATAGGCATTGCCGACCAGTCTGGTTCGAACCGAGGTACCGAGGTAGCTCAAGTTTCGCCGGTTAACCAAGAGTCGATCTGATCCCGAGATGTCTTTTTATTCTCTCTTTTGCCTTTTTTGTAAAACATGCCTGGACGGCTTTATCCACTGGATGTTAAGTATTTTTATCTTAAAACTTTTCCGAACTGAATCCAATACTAATGTCAAATAGCTAGATTTAACTTCCGAGCCGACAGCGAGAAGCATCGTGCACCAGTGTTAAGTTAACCGGGTTTATGATTTGCTCGTTGAGAAATTAAATCCAAATGTTTTAATTTTCGAGCCGAAAGTGTAGTGAGTCGTGCACCAGTGTTAGGATAACTGGGTTTTGACTAAGTGGGACTAATCCTTATCGGTTGCGACCCGAGCTGATGTAGTCGAAACCAGTGCTTAGAAGCGAACTGGGGTACCAGTGTCGAAGTCAACTGGGTTTTCTGAAGGCAATTTCCTTATGGCAAAATATCTCCGACCGAATTGTCTCGAATGCTTGTATAGCGCGCTGTAACCGAAGTGGTGAAAAGAGCTTTTTCTATCCGAGGACGTGGCCATCGTCCGAACGAACTTTTAGCTTTATAGGTCGATGAGATGACCGTTAAAATTTCCGATGTGGATAAAATTGATAATCCGAAGGGTAAAAACTTAGAGAATTTGAAAAATTTAGTGGGAGTATATATATATGTATACGGACCCACTCCCCCCCTTTTTTAATTAGG